TCATGGCCGCGTTTCTTTGACGGCAGTGGAACCCCATACAATTTTCCCGGGAAACGTATCCGAACTGCGGTGACTTACAACTTGGTAAAGTTAAGGATCTGACTGTAAACAGTGGAGAAGACATTTGATGAAGTTTGTGTTTTTAGGACATTTTTTATTTACAGTGGAACACTGGTGTGGCGTAATAGGCTTGTCTGAATTTAGGAAATTATTGGATACTGTAATTCGTTTCATTGTTTGCGCAGACACTGTAAACAATGAACGTACACGTGAAAGACGTCGGATTACATGTTGATAACAGCTTTATTGAAAGTGTTGCACCAGGAAATCACACAAGGCAACTGTAGTATTTATTGTTCACAGTTGACTTTTGTATTATACGGAACACAGCCAGACCTGCATACAAACTTTGGGGGACACACAGTAGGTTCGGATAACCGAACATTTCGGATAATCGACGTTCGGATAATCGACGTTCTACTGTACATATACTAGTGCGTTACTGAGGCGTTCTGTGTCCATTTAGATTGAAAGCTGAAAACAAGTATGCCAATTGTAGTAAAACTACCATATAAATGCAAGAGCAACAAACGCGCCATTATTTTCCATCTCCCGTGCGAACGACATAAACAATTGCGACCTTCTGATTTTCAAAGCACAACTTACAATTAGTGCTAAGCGGGCGTCAAATAAAAAATCCATTTTCGAGACACCATTTAATAATTCGACAGGGATTTTTAATTTGAAAACGTCTTGCATAATTTCTGTGACGTTAGGTGCCGACCATGTGGTTTCATTGACCTCTGAATGAACTTTGAAGAAAACGTACATCGTGCCAACATGATGCCACCACGTAATTTAAATGAACAATTTTACTTTGTCGTGGCATTTTACCCCTTTAAACGTCGCAAATGCCTTGAGTATAATTACAGTGAGTTACAGTTGGAATTTAGGCAAGTAAAAAGGTTTGTGACGATCATTATGTTGTGTAATGACACCCGTTTTACAAGATCGGGGTTGGGTGATTCGGTGTGACGTTTGTTATCTTACGGTGAACCCTGGTCGGTTCACGCATCAAATTCAGACTGCAAATCGTCGATTTCATATTAGGAAATCGGGATGCCATTGAGTTTTAATTTAGCAACTACAACACTACTTGTACGCAAGACAAGACAAGCAGAACAGGACAGGGTACACAACAATTCAATCCCCTGTTAACTTTTTCAGTAACCATTTCCAACTCACAAATCAACAAACACGCACAAATTTCAATGTTTAATTTACCACTGGCCACGCTATTTGCAACACATTACGCAATTTATCCGTTATTTAATCTACATTCATAAACAACAATGTAAGAGAACTGAAACTATGTTTTCTGTTGTGGTGAAAAAAACATCAGTCGCGCCCCGTGATCGCGCTGAGTATAATAAGGTACGCTGTATCTGACTAATCGCGCCGAGCTCGACCTTGGGTTCGCTTCTTTGAGAGCGAGCCTTTCACCAGCCTCGCCACTGGTACGCCATTGGCGAGACATGGCCTGGCGAGAAAATTGGGACCTTGTGTGCACATTACATTGTACTGTATATCGTAATCATGAACAGTGACGTACAATTTATTAAAAACAAAACTTACTTTGGTTATTTTCACCAAGCTTTTCAACTTTTCTAAAACTATGTAGATCAATTCTAGATGGGAAACCCGAGGTATCCGCTGCTTTTAACTGATCTTCCATGTAAATAATATGACGTACTTTAGGTAAACGATCAGTGATATTCTGTGAGAAACAATTCAAAATAAAATTAATGAAAATATAATCATAAAATATTATGCAAAGGTTTAACAGAAGATTTAACAGAAGACTTTGTGAGTTAGCACTTACTTTAAGTTTTGACAGTTGGCCTGCACTTGTGACCACATGTGTGACCTCAGTTTCATTTATTCCGTAACACACACCGTCTTCTCCAAGAGTAGCATATAAAGTCACCACTATGAGAAGATGAACAAACAATCATACAATGTATACAGGGCATTATTGGGTTCAGGTTTACAGTTCAGGGCATTATAGGGTCAAGGTTTACAGTTCGGGGCAATATTGGGTCCAGGTTTACAGTTCAGGACATTACTGGGTCCAGGTTTACAGTTCAGGACATTATTAAGCCCATGTTTACAGTTCAGGGCATTATTAAGCCCATGTTTACAGTTCAGGGCATTATTAAGCCTAGTTAAGCAAAAAAATAACTAGCAGCCTGTCGGCCGAGATAGCTCCACTGTTAGCAATCCACATTTCAACAAGTCATTGAAAATGACACAGTCCCCGTTAAATGTTTGAAAGTTCTCTTTATGCTCATCATATTAAAGCGGAGGGGTTGTCGCGAGTGTGTTCTTGAAACTTGAGTTCCAAGTGGCGTATACAACAAATTGTTTATTTTCATCAAAACATGTGTTCTATGTAGTAGTAATATGGCCAAAAATTAAAACAGCCGTTATTCGGCCATCTTTGATCTGATTATGAAACACACCGATATGTATGATGTATGTGCCAAATACGAATGAAAACGGTACATAAATAGTGGAAATATAGTAGTAAGGCCAAAAAGTCAGATGGCTGTCAATCGGCCAGCTTTGACCAGATTTTGAAACAAATTGTCATGGACATGCATCCTAACATGTATAAAGTACATGTATGTGCCAAATTTGAATGAAAACTGACAAGAGCACATCCAAGATACCGCATAAAAAAAAAAAAAGATGCCTGCCAGTCGACCATCTTTGATCCAATTGTGAAATAAATCGTCATGGACATGTATCCTAACATGTATAATCTATGTACCAAGTTTGAATGAAAACTGACAAAGCATGTCCAAAATACAACATTTTCAAAAAACAAGATGGCTGCCAGTCGGCCATTTTGAATAGAATCGCTAAACTACTGCATGTGCATATGTCCCACAAAGTACTAGGCACATGCAAAGAATGAACGGAATCGGTCCAAGGGATTCTGAGATATGACTCCGGACGGACGGACGAACGGACGGACAGAGACCGAATTATAAGTCCCCGTTTTCGGACTCCGTCCGAACAGAGACTAATTAAAGAACTGAAGATATCATTAGAAAATGAACAATATGTATAGTATCAAAGCAATCGGACTTGCTGTTTTCAACAAGAATTCAAAAATATCAGTTTTTACCAATAATGACCCAAATATTCACCAAAATTAGAGAATTGAAGATATCACGAAATGAACAAATCTGACAAAGGTCCACATATAGTATCTATACATGTAATATCAAAGCAATTGCACTTTTGGTTTTTAACAAGTTGAAAATATCACTTTTTACCCAAAATTACAAAAATATTCACCAAAATTAGAGAATTGAAGATATCATCACGAAATGAACAAATCTGAGAGGTCCACATGTAGTACATACACATGTAATATCAAAACAATTTGACTTGCGGTTTTTAACAAGAAGTAGAAAATATCACTTTTTACCAAAAATGACAAAAATATTCATCAAAATTAAAGAATTGAAGATATCATCATGAAATGAACAAATCCAAGAAGAAAGAAACATCCAAGGTACTTGCATATCAAATTTGAAAACATTCTGACTTGCAGTTTCGTAGAAGAAAATGTAAAGTTGACGACTACTGACAATCAGTAATATGAACCTTACAGCTTCGCTTTGTCGACGACTGAGCTAAAAAGGTCAATCCATGAAGACAGGACTGTATATAACGCAGGAATACTTTTAGTTGAATGCGATAATAGGCTGTGACATACCTGGGAAATTGTATCTGAAACATGCTTGCATTGTGATCATGAATTCAGCACGTGTCTCAGCATATACAACAACATTCTGACGAGGTTTCAGTCCCAAAACATTGAGGCCAGCTCCAAAGTTCTCCACTCTTTTATCAACCTGATCAAAACTCTCCCATTGGTATTCACCAAGAATGACCTGAAAATAAAACAGATAGCTAGATGTATATTGCAGACCATAGCAGGTACCCAGTATTGCATAGGAAACTGATCTGGCAAAACACAAAAGCTGCAAAATCTCAAACAAATGACCATGCCAATTAAATTAACTAATCATAACATGTGATATGATTTGATCCACAATACAATGCCGTGTTTCTGTTAATCAGGTTATAACATGTGCAGTGCTAAAAATACATGTAGTAACATATGTTAACATGTGTATCTTGGGAAATTTAAATAAGTACATTGATCCAATGTACTCAATGCTCTGTGTACTAAACTTCTGCAATAGCTAATACCAAATGAGCAACATGTCTACACCTCTTATCAAATCTAAGATTATATCCAGGATTTGAAGAAAAACAAACAAATTTAATCACCACCACTAAAAAAAATGTGGGCATTTTTTTAAATGGAAAAATTTCCCACTCCCTCATAGACCATTTATCATGTCATACCTTTTTAAAGACCCTGCCATTAGACTGCAATTCATCTTCTTCTTTCAGCAAATCTCTTGTTCCAAGACATTTCTTGTGTCCCCACTTGCTGACTGATCTCGTGAACAGGTCATTGAGGGTTCTGCAGTCTTCAAACAAAGTTGTTGTCAGGCGATCTGGGTTATCGGATGCTCTGAAAGTAACCGAGTTGTCATCTTCCGATACTGGAACAGCTTTTATACGACTTCCTCGATAACGACTCCAAAGTGTACAGAGGTACCATGGTATGTAAGTGAAAATGAAATATGTCCATGCTACCACTGATAAGAGGAAGAGCACAATAGTGATGTAGAATGGCTCCCCCATCACGTACTCTTGAGAACACTGAAATTAGAAGGATAAAGAAAACCTGTAATCACTGTGTTCAACTATATTACAAATTGAATAATGTACCATATCGTCTTTAAATACACTTGTATTAACTTGTTTAGAATACTGTGACCTTGATTGTAAAGAAAAACAAATGTATTGTGTTGCAAAAATAAATTCTGATTTCACTAGCAAAGTGAATATACTATAATTTTTACTGACTTGCCTACCAAATATTGACATTAGGCATGTTTGCACTACATTACTACACATGCACAGCTTGTGTTCATAGCACATTCACCTTTTATGTAATAAGTGTTATGTAACAATGGTAGTTACATTCTCCAATCATTGGAGGGAGGTGTCAAATGGTCAGCACTTGATGTACAAGCTACCCTCAGTTTTAAAATGGTCAGTCCCTAATGTACAAGCTACTAGTATCTTCCATCCCCCCAGTTTTAAATGGTCAGCCCCTAATATACAATCCATCTTTCATTCCCCAGTTTTAAATGGTCAGCCCCTAATATACAAGCCATCTTTCATTCCCCAGTTTTAAAATGGTCAGCCTCTAATGTACAACAAGCTATCTTTCATTCCCCAGTTTTAAAATGATCAGCCCCTAATGTACAAGCTATCTTCCATCACCCCAATTTTGAATGGCCAGCCCCTAATGTACAAGCTACCCCAGTTTGAAAATGGTCAGCCCCTAATGTACAAGCTATCTTCCATCCCCCAGTTTTAAATGGTCAGCCCCTAATGTACAAGCTTAACCCCCCCCCCAAGTTTCAAAACGGTCGGCCCCTTATATTGAAATGAGAAAGATGCATTTTAATGGGAAGGATGATGCTAGCTTTGTCAGTCAGTGCAGTGGTAGGTTTGAATATCAATCACTGACAACATGCAGTGAATATTATTGTACCAAACACGAGACATCTGACTAGATCCATTAATAATATACCAGATATCCTTATCTATATTCACTGTTAGCAAATATTGTGTTTAAAACCTACCGTATCTGTACTTGCATAATATAAAATTACTATGTATTAGGGTACGTGTTATTAATATAAACAGCATTTTAATTAATATGCATACTTAATAGTTCTCATAACTTATCCAAGATTGTAGGAATATTAATCAATGGATATGGCCTGTACTTTATAAGTACTACAGTCAGAAATGTCAATGACAGATTGAAGGGCTATTTTTAGAAGAATTATTTCTGCAAGGAATGTAATAGAACATGGCAGACCAGGAGACGTAAACAATGCAGAAATAGTGTTGTAGCTCATCAATATGGATGTCTGCCATCTATAAAATTAATCAGCCAATCAGAATGCATGTATCATGTGGGTGTGGCAGTGCAGGAAGCTGGAATGATGCCCATCAGGAAAAATATGTAGTCATAGAAATCAAGAAATCCACCTGCAAGGCCCCAAACACACTGCATAATGGATGTACTCTATATTGACTGAATCAATCTAAATCTTATTTTAAATAAAAATACAGATGTGTGTGTGTATTAAATATGGAATATAGTATTAAATGTTGGAAATAGAGAGTTATTAATAGTATCAACCTGCTGTTCAAAAAGATGAATAGACGAATGCTTATGATATCAACTCAATGTAATGCTATCCACTCACCTAATTATCAAATCACAAGCCATTCAGAATAAAACCAAAATAATTACCAAAGTGTTTTTCATATTAAATACTAATATAAAAAGACAAATAATACAACCCAAGCAAGTGGAAACAATTCTCTTAAGTGTTTTGTTTTGTGATCAATTTGAAAATATTTAATTAGTAAGACCACCGACAACTGCCTTGGATGCCCCACCAGACTGCCTTGGATGTTTTACTTGAATTAAAAAAAGAAGAAGAAACAAACTGGTCTTGGAGCCTTGAATGTCCCATCCGACTGCCTTGGATGCCCTACCCAACTGCCTTGGATGCCCTACCCAACTGCCTTGGATGCCCTACCCAACTGCCTTGGATGCCCTACCCAACTGCCTTGGATGCCCTACCCAACTGCCTTGGATGCCCTACCCAACTGCCTTGGATGCCCTACCCAACTGCCTTGGATGCCCTACCCAACTGCCTTGGATGCCCTACCCAACTGCCTTGGATGCCCTACCCAACTGCCTTGGATGCCCCACCCAACTGCCTTGGATGCCCCACCCAACTGCCTTGGATGCCCTACCCAACTGCCTTGGATGCCCTACCCAACTGCCTTGGATGCCCTACCCAACTGCCTTGGATGCCCTACCCAACTGCCTTGGATGCCCTACCCAACTGCCTTGGATGCCCTACCCAACTGCCTTAGACTAATGTATTTAGGATACTAGTAATTGTTAGGCCTCAATGATGGGAGTCTCCATAGTAACTCTGTTGAGCGTAATTTTTCTTAAACACTATTATGTTTTCTTGGTTAATTAAATAAATGTAGCTTTTCAATATACCAAAATAATTCTCAATTAATACTTGTATCTACATGTGGTAAGCAACCAGATCCTTTATATAGTTTGTTGACCCCAAATCAGATGTTTATAGAATTCCATCTACATGTATGAAATAAACATACAAAATAATATTAGTTTTCATTTTAAAGATTTGCTGAAATGAGATTTGAACAGTCAATCGCATACACCAGAAAAGATCTACAGGAGTGGGGGGTATTATTATTTAAAAACACGCTAATGGCAGACGGTTAATAGTTTGTTGAACTCTTCATACTGAACTATTGATACACATGTTCCTTAATTGGGAAGTCAATTTGGCAGTCATTTCAAGTAAAGTCAAATCACTAATAATGTGTTTTTACTGGCACGTTTTTTTTAGCCAATTTAGTAGTACCCTGTAATTTAGCCAATTCCAGAAGTAACAGATTCAAAAAAAAATCTATTACAACAATAACACTCGGGAAGGTCTAGGAGAGTTAACGACAGACACAGGATTAAAGTTGGGGGGGGGGACTCAGTTGAGCAGTCACTGGAATAAAATTTAGTAGTGTCCAACAATAAGCACAGAATACTAACTGGGGGTGCAGTTTAGTAGTGTCCAACAATAAGCACAGAATACTAACTGGGGGTGCAGTTTATGGAGACTGGAACCTATTGTTTATAAAAGACTTGGGACTGCAGGGGCTACTTTAAATGGGGGACAGTGTTTCTGATAACATCTAACAAGACTAAATTTCACAAAAATTCTGCAACAGCTTTCCTAAGTAGATTATTTGTCTTGTAAAATTAAGACGTGATAACGTATACCATAATTATTGGGTCACAGAAAACCATGAATCTGCTAATAATCTTTATATATAGCACGTCACATCACCGAGAAATACATAAAAAAGAAAAAAGAAATTTCTTAAAATGTCCGCTGGTTGAGACAGATGGCATTTCAAGATTTTGTCTCGTCTCATTCTGAAACAAGTTCGAATGCATTTAGCTAGCTGAAAGACAGTATTAATTTTAATATTTAGCAGATCTGCTAGACATTCATCAGTTGACTTTACTGAAATATTTATTACCATGTATACACATTTAAAACATCATAGGCAGTTTCTTCTAATAACAAATAACGTAAAACAGATTAAAACCAAACCCAGTAATTTTTTTTTATTTTGTTTAATGTTGTACCATCGTACCATACAGGAACAAATAGATCTATGTTTACTTCCATGATACTGCTAAGAGCTAACCTTCAAGAAATTACGCACATCGTTGGGTCATCATCAGACCATATGACGCAGTCTTAGAGGTTTCAGACATAACGCCATAATTATAATATGGCGCCACAATCACTAATGACGTGTACAATAATATTATAATGATGTACATTTCCTTGAAAATTGTCAACACAGGGAGAGGAAGCGTGTGCTTTGCCCCCTCTAAAAGGGCTAAAATATCTATTTTCGTACACGATAAATTAAAAAATAACACCCTTGCCTAACGTACTGATTTAAACGATCGATCGGCCCCTAAAAACGCATAGTAAATAACAATGTAAAAGCCGACAATAATTCCACGTGTGAATCCATGCTCAATAGTAACGACGCCAAATATGGTGACGGTGTAGAATATGCCCCATAAAACAACATATTGAAGATATACAATTTGAAATATAGTCACCTGCAAACGTGAAATTGGGAAATCGATCCAAATACAGTTGATCTCGTGATGATGTAGTATCTAAATTTCAACAGATACCGCGTACGCTAAGACCTGTACACTCCTTTTCAAGGATACATTACAAATTTCTACATCCTCCGCCGACGACTCTACTACAAACCGGTTCACGTTACTGTATTTAAATGTATTATTACGCGTCCAAAGGAATCAATGATGACTTGCACTTTTTCCTCACTTTACTCAGATTGATTGATTAGTTAGGATTAATTGTTTAATTGTTCATGCAACACTGTCAAACATACACGATTGTCTTTAAATACGTCTCCGTCTTGCGTTACGAGCGGATGAATATTATATTATTTTAGTGAAGTGTTCATTATTATGCAAATACGGAATAGATCACTTTTCTCCTGCATGGCGCGACACAGCTGACTGGTGACTGATTGAACGGAGACCCGAAAATCTGTTGAATGAATGGTGACATGTGGGAAACTCCACTCAGGCTGGGCGTGATACACCGCATGTTCAGTTCATGTCCTGTCTATACAGACGTTCATATTGTTTATCTTACAGCTGATACTTCTCGCAGTCACCTGAGCCCACTCCACTCTGTTTGACCGGTTCAAAGAGGAATGGCGGGAAAAGTAAAAAAAAAGTTGATGAGATGGATGTATTTTTGATAACTGTATGAATCAATCATATCCCTAGAAATACGGTTCTTAGGCTTATAAATAAATCAATGAAAATGTACTATAGGGTTACAACGCGAGATTACATTGTATGTCTCCATCTGCTCCGCTGCTTAACGTACTACACACACGGACAAAAATAAAATTGTCAAATCCAAAAAAAAAAAAAAATGGACACGTAGTTGATTTCTGTTATGAAAAGTTGATTCCTTGAAAGTATTCGACACTGCTTCATAAGAGGTTAAGTTGCAACTAACCATTCAGTAATATTGAGCCACAACGGGTGGCTGTGAAAGGTACACATTCGGACTGGTCTGAAAGCAATAGTGGTGTTCCCTGAGGTAGTGTCCTTGGCCCAATTCTGTTCGCAATATATATTAATGATTTGCCAAATATGGTGTGTAACATTTATAAATTGTTTACTGACTATACTAAGCTGTTTAAATCAATTAGCTCATAACAACCTACTGGGAGAGGTTAAAGGTTACAAAAGAAAATTACAAATAAACATTAATCAAATTATAATGGCTAATAGTTTTATTTAAAAGACAACCAAAAACAGACTAAATGGAATTAGTAACGGAAAGAAAAAATATATAATAAAATAAAATAAGCAGAATATTATACAATTTGCAGATTCTGTTGTACTTTTGATTCTGTTGTGTCATCCTCTTTCAATTTCTAAACTGTGATTGCTCAGTCTGAATTTAGTACTTTTCAGTTCTTTATTTTTTAGCTTAAGTAGTTTTCCAAAATAAAATTTGTTTTAAATTTGTTGTATGTCCGCAGTTTGTTCTTTGTATAAGTGTATTGTCTGTTATCATTAATTGAGGTAATCCAGCACTTTATAAATACATTTTTGTATTTTATCATATAGCTATCAGGGGGAAATTCTCTCCACGGGGTTCTCCACACTTGCCAGGGGGGAATCTCATCTCGTCTCTCTATCGCGTCCCCTTGAGGTATGGTATCGGGAATGTCACTTATACTTTACAGTCAAATAAGACACACACAACGAAATACGTTTCAGCTCTCGTCTTAGTCAGTCAATCTAGCACTCTATAAGACACAGCGTCCTGGGGAAATATCCCCAAGACTATCGCAAGGCTGGCCCAAGACTCTCTTAGACTGCGTCAAGGCTCGCCCCAAAGCTCTCCAGGACTGGACTCGACTCCGTCTATCGTGCTGTGCTCCCCAAGACCAACTCAAACTCTCTTTATTCATTTTCAAAACTCTAACCAATTACAAAACAGTAAAAAGACTCTAGGGCATAACCTTCAATCATAAAGCCAATCACACTAAGTACTGAATACGTCATATCTTTTGATTAATCGTTCACTACATTAATAACTATGAATACCAACTGTCAGAATTAATAGTCAGAATAGCGACGGTTATCTCGTAATTAGTTCCAAATCACTGAGCCAAGTTCCGTCCAAAACTTCAAATAGACCTAAACGATGACAGACATAACACAGCAATTCGCTAATAATCAGC